TATATATATATATATATATATATATATATATATATATATATATATATATATATATATATATATATCAGTGGTGTGTGGTGGTGTTTTAAAATGAGGAGGCAGTTTTATATATAAATATTACATAAAAAGAGAACAAATATAATTCTATTTTGTATTTTATTAATATTATTTTGTATTTTATTTAATATTTGTAATACTAATTTCAGTGTTTTTATGCATTTTTTATATTTATTCCAAAATAATAACTAAAGGCAGTAACAATTTGAACAATATTCTGGAAACAGTTTACAATAAGGTTTCAGTTAGTTAACTACTTTAGTTAACATGAACTAACACTTTTCTAGGCACTCAAAGCGCTTTACATTGTCAGGGGGCATCTCCTCATCCACCACCAGTGTGCAGCATCCACCTGGATGATGCGACGGCAGCCATAGTGCGCCAGAACGCCCACCACACACCAGCTTATTGGTGGAGAGGAGACAGAGTGATGAAGCCAATCAGCAGATGTGGGGATGGTTAGGACCAATGGGCAAATTTGGCCAGGATGCCAGGTCACACCTCTACTCTTTTCGAAAGACATCCTGGGATTTATAATGACCACAGAGAGTCAGGACCTCTGTTTAACATCTCATCCAAAGGATGGTGCTTTTTGACAGTATAGTGTCCCCGTCACTACACTGGGGCGTTAGGACCCACACAGACCACAGGATGAGCACCCCCTGCTGGCCTCACTAACACCTCTTCCAGCAGCAACCTAGTTTTCACAGGAGGTCTCCCATCCAGGTACTGACCAGGCTCAACCCTGCTTAGCTTCAGTGGGCAACCAGTCTTGGGCTGCAGGGTGATATGGCTGCCTGAAAAAGTTAATATAACCACAAAAGAGAAACACAAAATCACAGTATGAATTTGAGCTTAAAACGTTTGAAATCTGATTAGTGTTATTTTATTTTTTACTAAAATACAGCATTTGACTAATGTTATCAATATCTACAAAGATCAAATATCTACAAAGACTTGACATTACATTTTTGGTCTTTATTCGCATTCATATCAACACCACTTTGTATGTTAATGTGTACTGACTGTGGTGGGAGCTGTTTTAAATGAGCGCATTTGCACTTCAAGGAGAGATTATGACTTCATTTAGCTACTATATCCATGAGGCGCCGCTATTTACAAGGCACTGAGACTGAAGAGTCTTTTAGTGCTTTTGAGAAGCACTTTTAAACGCTATAGCGTTGTATCTTATGTACATTTACATGTGTTTATTTAGCCAAATACAAAAAACATAATACTATAAATGATATCCTATTAATAGAACTATATATATATTGTAATACTAATTTCAGTGTTTTTATGCATTTTTTATATTTATTCCAAAATAATAACTAAAGGCAGTAACAATTTGAACAATATTCTGGAAACAGTTTACAATAAGGTTTCAGTTAGTTAACTACTTTAGTTAACATGAACTAAGAATAAACAATAGCCTACTTCTACAGCATTTATTAATCTTAGTTCATATTAATTTCAACATTTACTAATGCATTATTAAAATCAAAAGTTGTGTTTGTTAACATTAGTTTGTGCACTGTGAACTAACATGAACTAACAATGAACAACTGTATTTGTATTAACTAATGTAAACAAAGATGAATAAATACTGTAATAACTGTTCATTGTTTGTTCATGTTAGTTAAGTCAGTAAATGACACCTTATTGTAAAATGTTACCAATATATTTTTTATTTGTGAACTTATGTTCAGCTGTTCTTTTTAATAGTCAACTTATTTCGGGTCATCGTCATAAAAGCTCTGTAAACACTGCCACAGACACAAAGATATATCTTTCATTTCATGACACTGAATGCTCGCTAAAAACTGACGTAGTCATCACGTTTTCAGACCATTTCAAGTTTTATTGACGTGACGCAAAGTGGTGGTATCTAAGCAGGAGAGTTGTTTAGGCTACTTACTTTATAATTAGTCAATAATGCCATTATTTTCTTCATTTAGACCGAGAGCTTGCACGAAAACAATAGGCTGGATTTATCACAGGAACCAATCACATCCAACCTTAACCGACCATATCCAATTATAGCACGACGGAGGCATTGCCTCCAGAAAAGTCACATGCTTTGGGGTCTCTGTAGAAAGTCAATGGACCGAAGGGAGGCAAGCCTCCGCTGTAACTTTACCTGCGGGTGTCGCTGTTGGACAGTGTTACTTTATAAAAATGAGTGACTTTTAGACTTTTAATATTGTTTTATTTTTGTAATATCGATTATTTTCTCATCCAACTTTTTGAGGAGACACTGCCTCCCTTGCCTCCTCTGAGGAAACGCCCCTGATATATATATATATATATATATATATATATATATATATATATATATATATATATACACACACACACACACAC